CTACAAAACCCTCCCAACATTTTTAAAATCCTACTTCATAACAATATCACCTCATATTGATTCAGGGTTTACTAATGCCACAAAAGCCAGCTGTTGAGTAAGTGGCAGCACAGAGCCATGTTACTCTAAGAGAAATCTCACCAGCACCTTTTATTAAGTAGTTTGTTCCCTATTCTTTTTCTTACTGCTCATCAATCCTCTTCCAGCTGTGATCATTCACTTTCCTGGTAGCATAATTTATTCCTGGATTAACAGTTACACTTAGCCCTTCCACAAGGCCATGCAAGACAGGAAAAGTTTTTGCTTCCTTCCCAACACTGCTGGAAAGAGGCTCATCTACATCATTATAAAGAACTTCTCATCCTAAAGGCTCTAAAACAGTATGCAAAGTATGTTGAGAGACTCCTCCTACCAACCACAGGAACGACAAACACTTTTCAGATTCAATACTGCAGCTATAGAATGCTCCTAAATTGTACTGTAGAATTCATGAACACAGACTATGAAGAACTTTATCTAACAAAAACACTAGTACACCAAATGCTATTATCCAGACTGCAGTGTAGCCAGGACATTAAATACAATACTTTGAGTCTTGTGAAATGCACCATGGAATTTTTACTATAAGTATCAATGGGGATATTGCTTTGATGTCATCCAAAAGATGGGACTGGCAGGAGTATAATTTTTACTTAATGTTCCAGCATGGTCTTAAGAATTGACATGGGAGCAACCCCAGTTGAATTAGCTACCTAACTTGCTGAAGTACCTAGCTGGTTTTATGAGGTCTCTCTTGAAAAGACAGTCAAAGAATGAGGTACCTCATTTTTAGATATTTAGACAGCTAAGACTACAAGCTATTTATAAATTCTTAAACAGATTTTTAAATTCTTAAAAAAGCTACCCAGTAGGCTGGAAAAAGGTAAAAGACACCTGAAAGCAGGAATTAGAGTGACAACACACTGTAAAAACCTCTTCCAAGTCAGGAATATTATAGTCAAAAACCCTATCAGCAAAAATAGTTATTGAATCATTTAGCTGACCAAGATAATGGTAAAGAAAGGCTTCTCTCCAATTCTCCGTATAGGTTTACAACAGGCCTTCCTCAGAGAAATACAAGTTTAAAGACAAAATAACTTCAAATTATCAAACTACAGTAGCAGCCAAAGTTGCATGTTATACATCATCATTACAGTAGCTCAACAGTTTAGAGATAAAAGAAATCTTTATCCTATTAAAATCAAGACTATCTATTTTGTAGCTCATACAGCTAGCACTGGAAAGAAGGAGCTATTAATCTTGAAGTCGGTTAAGAGAATTAAAAAGTTATTGGCCATAGAATCCATAAATTTTAATTCTCTCCTGTACTTTCACACCCTCTTTCTGGAGAGCATCATCAGGGTGACTTTCATCCTGTTTCTTCTTCTATGAAGACACATTTTTAGTTCTTCCTATACATAACTACAATGTTCCTATTAGAAATATAAAGATATGAAGTTCCACTTATAAAACTTCAATAAAATCATTAGATCTGCTCTCTATCCCCACTAGACTAAAAAAGAATTCATGAAAAAGCAGCTTGGTTAACCTTTCTTTTATAGGTGACTCGCATTGTGGTAAATCAGTTAAATATTTCAGAATATTTTTATAATTTAGCAAAATTTGGATCAGTGTAGCAAGTCATCTGCCACTTTATGCCATTTGCAGCCAACATTCACGCATACCTAGAAGACTCTTGGCAATCAGTAATATGCTATATTGGGCTAAACAGTCCCAAGCCTATTTCAATTTGAGATGTTTTATGTGCAATTGGATGGGGCTTTTTTGCACAAAGGGAAGGCTGCTGATTTAGTTTTTGGATAAAAGATATTTAGAGGGAATCTTGACTCTGAAAATTGAAAGTAAAATTAATCTTCAAATTCTGCCCTCTGTATATGAGATCACCTTCGTACGTTCTTACCCTAACGGCTAAAACAAGCTTGAGCTAAGTTTTTTCACCCTGTTCAACTTATGCAGCCAACAAAGCCACACAAAAGAGTGATATTCAGCTCACAAAAACCAACAGAAACTATTAAAAGCTAAATTCTAATTACAGAATACTTAGGTGGTGATGAGGCAACCAGAAAGAACTGGCTTGACTTTCAGATCCTATACAAAGTTTGCAAGCCTGGCAGTTAGGAAAAATATGTTTTTCCTTAGAAACCGAGTAGGCTTATTATGGCAGCCAGTAAGAAAACACACACATGCGATATCACAATACCATTTTCATTTTTCTCTTCTTTTTCTTTTAAAGAAATCAGGAACATACTTAAGTATCCAACTGAAAAACAGCAGTTGTAACTTGTGTGGTGATGCCAGGATCATATTCACTAGATAGTTTGCATTCAAATTCTAGATTATCTAAAGGGCTACATTTTTTCCTCATACAAACTGGAGAATGGCTAGCTAGGTTACAGTTCTGAAGAGAAGGACCTCAGGATTACAGAGGACCATAAACTGAATATGAATTAACAAAGTGATTTTTTTTTTTTGCAACAAACCAACAGCACCCTATGTTGTATTAACAGGAGCAGGGGTGGATGGGGGGGGGAAGTACAACAGTTGCACTCCCTTTTGATTCCTGCTCCACCCAAAGCTTAAAACAAATTGCCTAGGCCTGGCAGGACTTCATAGTCTGTCTGATGCCTTCCAACTCTTCACTTCACAGGTGTTAATGACCCTCTTTTTTTTTTTTTTTTAAATGGTCTCCGTTTTCCACTAATCAAGCAATTCTTTCTTCTGTAATTCTGCTGCCTGCTATTGGCTCCAAGTAATGTAGTTCCTATTTCATAGCCAGAAAGACCATTTTTAACCCTAGCTAGAAACATTAACTCATGTGTGGAACTAACTTTCAGTGATTGGATACACTGTCAAGATGCTTAAGAAGGCCTGATTTTGTTTTGTGATTGAAATAGATGTCCATTTAATTGTAATGACCACAGGAATGAGATATTTTAATTATTCTTGCCTATTTGTGTTTTTCAATACATAACATATGCTGTAACAAATTAACACACATGCTAATAGTTATAGAAGCAAAACCAAATATCTGAAACTGAATAAGAAAGCTGTAGGCTCTTTAGAAACTAGGAGCTTTGCTAGTATGCTTTTACCTACAAAAATGTGTTATATATGCTATGCTTATCATACCATCTTCACCCTCACTTTTCAAGTCCTAGATCTGCCCACAAACAGGGGTGTCACTTGCAAATCAAGAGAACTGATTCTTCCTCTCTCTTCAGCACTAGTGATGCCGCACCTAGTATACTGTGTCCAGTTCTGGGCCCCACACTTCAAGAAAGAGGTGAGCAGTTTGTAAAGAGTTCAGTGCGGGGCAACAAAAATTATTCTGGATCTGGGAGGCAAGATTTACAAGGAAAGGATGAAAGGGCTACAGTTAATTTAGTATGGAGAAGAGAAGACCGAGGAGGAATTTGATAACAGTCTTCAAATGCCTGATGATTTTTATGAGTGGATGGGCATTCTCTGCAGCTGAGGGGGACAAGATTAGCAACAATGGCCTCAAGATGAAGCAGGGGCAATTTAGGCTGGAGCAAGTTTCTGATTCGGAGGGTGGTCAGGCATTGGAGCAGGCTACGAATGACGACTCCCAAAGAAGACCTTTTTCAGGTTATTTGGGGCCGAAGCCCAAGATGGGCCATCCAATCTGAGCCAGAAGTCTAGTGGCGACTGCCACGAATCCATTACCAGCCACCTGCTGAGTGACTGCATGCTTGTTCCTAGAGAAGCTGGGGAATGCTTGGAAACTTTCAAAAGCAGGTTAGAAAACACTTAGCTGGGATGGTTTCCTTGGGAACAATCCTGCCTTCAGGACTGATCTGGTGAGGTGCCTTCCAGCACTACTTCTTAGCTTCTAACCCTGATCATGAGGAAACTGACTCAGTAATCCTACACACTTCCTGGCACTCCCCATCCAACTCATTTTCAATGAGTAGCAGCGGAGGCGTTGAACTCAAGGATGCCAGAAGGAGCCATATATGAAACACAACGCTGGTCTTAGAAAGCCTCTCACCTAAAAACACTTTCATTTGTTTAAAAATTGGACTCTACGGGGTAGAAAAGCACAGACAGTGGCAACGCCCTTTCCTCGGAAAAAAGCTAGCCACTGGGAAAACAGCTCTAGTGTCCTCTAACTGGATTTCTCAACCTGTGTGTCGCAACACCCAAAGTGGGTAGGAAGAATGTATGAAAGGGTCCCCAACAAACTTTACAAAGGGCTTCTCCTTTAAAGGAGAAAACCATGGGAACCAGGGGTTCCCTTGCAGGCTGGCAGAGCGCTGGGCTGCTCCTTGGCCCCCTGCCTCACAGGCCGGGAGGCCAGGGCTTGGGGGCAGCAGGTCAGGACTGAGGGGTAGCAGCAGGGCCTGGGGGCTGTTTTCTACTTCAGCTTCACACTGGCTCGGGACTAGCCATCCATGTTTCCAAATGGGTCCTGGTACAAAGAAGGTCGAGAACCACTGCCCTAACTAACAGACCAGAAGTTTCTTGGGGGTTTTTTTCTTTTCTCTTATGTTCAAAGCCCAGGTCCCTGACGGGGCAGAGGCGCAGGCTGCCCAGCTAGCCTCACACTTCCTCTTTCGAGCCGGCTCTGCCTGCACCAGATGGCTCCCGCGCGACTCCTCCATTCCCTCGCCCGGCCGACGGCTGCCGCGGAGGGCGCAGCTCAGGTGCGGGGCCCTAACAAAGCAGCCGCAGCCGCAGCCCCTCGCTAGCCCGAGCCCCGGGGAGGTGGGCGACAAGCGCACGTCCCGGCGCGGCTCCCGCCCGAGCTGTTTTGCTCGCTGACGCGCCGCCAAGCCGGGTCCCACCGCGCGCGCGCGCGCACACACGCGTGCACCCCCCGGCCCGCTTCTCCCAAGCGAGTCCCACTGGGGACACCCGGTTACTCAAGCAACACACAGGGCTCCGCGGAGCCTGTTCCGCCCGCCCCAGACACTCACTGTCCCGGGCTCCACGGTGGCGCGAGTGCGGGAGCCGCCGGCGCGGGGAAGGCGTCTGTCCGCGCCCGCTCCGTACGCAGCCACGGGCGCTCGGGGCAGCTGCGGACCTGACGGCCGCTTCCTGCTGCCGGGAGATTTGCATAAACGCCGGGCGCGGGGGGAGGAATCTAACTCCGCGGCGCCACGACCCAGGCGGGGC